GGCCGGGGCTGGATTTGAACCCGCCACCTTAGGTGTATGTGGCTTGTGCCTTAGCCATTTGAGCCACAGGCGCTGAGCCCATGCATTCTTTATTGAGATTAAGCATTATTTAAATAGCAAAGACTGCTGAATATATTCTTTCATCATTATTATTATTATTTTTATTTTTTGAGACAGAGTCTCACTGTACTGCTCTCAGTGGAGTGCTGTGGTGTCACAGCTCACAGCAACCTCAAACTTTTGGGCTTGAGTGTTTCTCTTGTCTCAGCTTTCCAAATAGCTGGGACTACAGGTGTCTGCCACAACACCTGACTATTTTTTGTTGTTGTTATTGTAGTTGTTATTGTTGTTTAGCTGGCCCAGGCTGGGTTCGAACCCACAAGTTTCTATGTATGTGGTCCGTGCCCTCCCCACTGAGCTACAGGCGCCGCCTTTTATTGTTATATTATTATTATTTTTTGAGACCGAGTCTCACTATGTCTCTCTCAGTAGAGTGCTATAGCATCACAGCTCACAGCAACTTCAAACTCTTGGGCTTAAGCTATTCTCTTGCCTCAGCCTCCCAAGTAGCTAGGACTATAGGTGCCTGCCACAACACCCACACCACAACGCCCAGCTATATTTTGGTTGTAGTTGTCATTGATGTTTAGCAGGCCCGGGCTGGATTCAAACCCACCAGCTCCAGTGTATGTGCCTGGTGCCCTAGCTGCTGAGGTATAGGTGCTAAGCCAAAATTAAAGGTTTTGATTAAGGTCTTTTGCTGGACTAAAGAATGATGGAATATTAGATTAATACATATATCAGGTTTTATTTATGAATTCCACTGAACTTCAAGATGCTTTTTGCCAGGCCCAGGCTGTGTTCGAACCCTCTAGCTCTGGTGTATGTAGCTGGTGTCCTAGCCACTGAGCTACAGGCACTGAGCCTCAGGATTTTCTTTTTTTTTTTTTTTGAGACAGAGTCTTACTGTGTTGCCCTCGGTAGAGTGCCATGGTGTCACAGCTCACACCAACCTCCAACTCTTGGGCTTAAGTGATTCTCTTGCCTCAACCTCCCAAGTAGCTGGGACTATAGGGGCCTGCCACGACACCCACC